TCATTCCACATTCTGGGTCCCTTGATTTGAAGAGCATTTCTAGTTTGGTTAAGTCGTACTCTTAGAATATCAAAACTGTATTTATTTCTGGTGTGGTGCTCATGGGTTCTGTTACAACCTTCAATGAAGCTTTTAAGGTCAGGATTGACATTACAGTTCAGAGTTTTATATATATATATATATATATATATATATATATATATATATATATATATATATATATGTGTGTGTGTGTGTGTATATCACGAAAATAAACACGTGATTAAGAATGTGACAATGTCAGACCACGGAGGAAAAATGAAACAGGAAATTTCCTTAAGTACTTTCGTATATTAAATACATCTTCAGAAGGTCCTTCACCTTCTGAAGATGTATTTAATACACGAAAGTACTTAAGGAAATTTCCTGTTTCATTTTTCCTCCGTGGTCTGACATTGTCATATGTATATATATATATATATATATATATATATATATATATATATATATATATATATATATATATATATATATATATATATATATATATATATAATACACATGAGAGGATGTGCAGGGACTTAATATCTAACATATTCAGAGATTTAAGTAAGGGTACCGAGTGATGTCTGGGGCCAGAGTTGGATATTGTCCTAATAGCAGCTTTGTGTTGAGTAATTAGAGGACGTAAATAATTTTGGGTAGTAGAACTCCAAACACAAATATCATAGTTGAGATATGGATAGATAAGGGAGTAATAGAGCGTCACCAGGGCAGGGCGAGGTACGTAACATCTGATCTTAGAAAGAATGCCAACAGTTTTTGAAACTTTTTTTGATATATTTAGAATGTGTCCCTGGAAATTCAGCTTCTGGACAATGAGAACGCCAAGGAATTTACCATCAACTTTGTTACAAATTTGGTTATTGTTTATCCTGAGATTGATTTGATTTGAGGATTTATTGCCAAACAAAATATAGAAAGTTTTGTCAATGTTGAGGGTGAGGTGAGAACATAACCTCTCCACTTACTTCAGGGATAATCATTCATAGGACCACAGACCATTACCCATCATTTCTCCTAACCAACATTAATAAACCAACTCTAGATACAAGGAAGCTTTATTCTTTATTATTTATTACTATTCTTTATTAATTTAGATATTGCTTTAGGCTGCACAATGAAACTTCTATAAGCAACTTTATTGCTGCTGCTGCTGCTAACATCAACTGGGAGGCTGAATTAGGTGACATAGTGATCATCAACCTAACAGTGCAAACATTTCTTCAGAAAACTCTGAGCCTGTATAACTCTCACTGTCCTATACTAACGAAACAAGTTACAAATAAAAGGTTAAATACTCCACCATGGCTTAGAAAGGGTATACTTAAATCTATTAATAAAAAAGATGACCTTGAGAAGAAGTATAGGCTAGAAGTCGTCTCCAAAGAATTGTCAAAGATTTACTCATCAGTGCCAGTGTCAGCGGCTGAAAGAACACCATTATCATTGGATAGGCGTATTGGTTTTTAATTCAAAATCTTTTTTTTATCCTAATATTTAGGAAATAGTGCTCCATGTTTTCTTAATGTTGCCTTTAATGTGGGTAAATTTATTTTAGTAGTACTTTATTTTGGCTCTTCTAATTATTTTAGACAGCACTGATGAGTAAATCTTTAAAAATTCTTTGGAGACGATTCCTAACCTATACTTCTTCTCAAGGTCATGTTTTTTATTAATAGATTTAAGTATACCCTTTGTAAGCCATGGATTGTTTAACCTTTTAGTTGTGACTTGTTTCGTTAGTATAGGACAGTGAGAGTTATACAGGCTCAGAGTTTTCTGAAGAAATGTTTGCACTGTTAGGTTGATGATCACTATGTCACCTAATACAGCCTCCCAGGTGATGTTAGCAGCAGCAGCAGCAATAAAGTTGCTTATAGAAGTTTCATCGTGCAGCCTAAAGCTTAAAGATATACAAAAGTTCTTACATTCTTATACATCGACTAGCACACATAGCGTTTCGGGCTTACCTTTATGAGTCCTACGGCTACAGGACTGTAAGGGCGGTACACTCTCAGAGGAGCAGCAGTGTACCGCTGGCTGTGGTGGTGGTGGTGGGAGAGGAGGAGGGAGAGCAGTGTAATTGCCAGTATATCGGTATCTATGGCAGGTGGTTGCAGGTAATGAATCCCCCAATGGTGAATGTTCCAATTGTAAACTATGTAAACAAGAGCTGGGGACATACTCTCCAACACTATATCTGTGATTGTCCTGTTATAAGTGACTTTAGACCTAATGGTATGATGTACTTTGAGCTCTGTAATTACTTCATACACACAGGAATATTGGAAGATATTCCTGTGCTGTACCCGGATTTTGCTAGTAAAGCATATTATGTTCTCATCTAATTTTTAGTCAGAGTTGATTTCATTTTTTACTGAGGCAGGTATTTTCTCCCCTGAGTCCATGTATGACTAATCATCCTGTGAGATGGGAATATTAGATGAACTTACAGCTAGTTTCTGATCTACACTATGTAATCTGTCATATAGAATAGGTAGCAGCACATTGCTGTGTACACCTAAGTTTGTTAATAATAACGAAAATGTCCGTATCGCACTATCAGAGAGTATTTCCAAGTGTAAGAAAGGGTTTACTGAACATGTCACGCGAGAAATCTTTCTCACACAACTGATCAATGTCAACACATACCATTATACTTTCTGAAGGATTTGAATGGGAAGTATATTGAGGGAGGTATAAGAAGTAACATCTACTGACCTACCTCACACCTTAACTATTGAAAAATATGTAATTGTGTAAAGAAGGAAATGTATGTGTTTATCTCTCGGAATGTTCGGTAATATGTTTATTGTTTGTGATGTGTGTATATGTATGTATTAACACGATGTACAGAACGGGGTGAGAATAGCTTGAGCTACCTCATCCCTTTGTGTATATTTTACCTCAATAAACTTACTTCAATTTCAATTTCAGTTTCACCTTAAATATTGAAAAGATATTGCACAAACCCAATGTAGAGGGCTGTGGCACCGCTGGGAGGGCAGTGTACCGCTGACTGTGGTGGTGGTGGTGGAGGGAGAGGGCGAGGGAGAGCAGTGTACCGCTGACTGTGGTGGTGGTGGTGGAGGGAGAGGGCGAGGGAGAGCAGTGTACCGCTGACTGTGGTGGTGGTGGGGAGGGAGAGGGCGAGGGAGAGCAGTGTACCGCTGACTGTGGTGGTGGTGGGGAGGGAGAGGGCGAGGGAGAGCAGTGTACCGCTGACTGTGGTGGTGGAGGGAGAGCAGTGTACCGCTGACTGTGGTGGTGGTGGAGGGAGAGGGAGAGCAGTGTACCGCTGACTGCGGTGGTGGTGGTGGTGGAGGGAGAGGGAGAGCAGTGTACCGTTGACTGTGGTGGTGGTGGAGGGAGAGGGAGAGCAGTGTACCGCTGACTGTGGTGGTGGTGGTGGTGGAGGGAGAGGGCGACGGAGAGCAGTGTACCGCTGACTGCGGTGGTGGTGGTGGTGGTGGAGGGAGAGGGAGAGCAGTGTACCGCTGACTGTGGTGGTGGTGGTGGTGGAGGGAGAGGGAGAGCAGTGTACCGCTGACTGCGGTGGTGGTGGTGGTGGAGGGAGAGGGCGACGGAGAGCAGTGTACCGCTGACTGCGGTGGTGGTGGTGGTGGAGGGAGAGGGAGAGCAGTGTACCGTTGACTGTGGTGGTGGTGGAGGGAGAGGGAGAGCAGTGTACCGCTGACTGTGGTGGTGGTGGTGGTGGAGGGAGAGGGCGACGGAGAGCAGTGTACCGCTGACTGCGGTGGTGGTGGTGGTGGTGGAGGGAGAGGGAGAGCAGTGTACCGTTGACTGTGGTGGTGGTGGTGGAGGGAGAGGGCGACGGAGAGCAGTGTACCGCTGACTGCGGTGGTGGTGGTGGAGGTGGAGGGAGAGGGAGAGCAGTGTACCGTTGACTGTGGTGGTGGTGGTGGAGGGAGAGGGAGAGCAGTGTACCGTTGACTGTGGTGGTGGTGGTGGAGGGAGAGGGAGAGCAGTGTACCGTTGACTGTGGTGGTGGTGGAGGGAGAGGGCGAGGGAGAGGGAGAGCAGTGTACCGTTGACTGTGGTGGTGGTGGAGGGAGAGGGCGAGGGAGAGCAGTGTACCGCTGACTGTGGTGGTGGTGGTGGTGGAGGGAGAGGGAGAGCAGTGTACCGTTGACTGTGGTGGTGGTGGTGGAGGGAGAGGGAGAGCAGTGTACCGTTGACTGTGGTGGTGGTGGAGGGAGAGGGCGAGGGAGAGGGAGAGCAGTGTACCGTTGACTGTGGTGGTGGTGGAGGGAGAGGGCGAGGGAGAGCAGTGTACCGCTGACTGTGGTGGTGGTGGTGGTGGAGGGAGAGGGCGAGGGAGAGCAGTGAACCGCTGACTGTCGTGGTGGTGGAGGGAGAGGGCGAGAGAGAGCAGTGTACCGCTGACTGTGGTGGTGGTGGTGGTGGAGGGAGAGCAGTGTACCGCTGACTGTGGTGGTGGTGGTGGTGGAGGGAGAGGGCGAGGGAGAGCAGTGTACCGCTGACTGTGGTGGTAGTGGAGGGAGAGGGAGAGGGCGAGGGAGAGCAGTGTACCGCTGACTGTGGTGGTGGTGGTGGAGGGAGAGGGAGAGCAGTGTACCGCTGACTGTGGTGGTGGTGGTGGAGGGAGAGGGCGAGGGAGAGGGAGAGCAGTGTACCGCTGACTGTGGTGGTGGTGGTGGTGGAGGGAGAGGGAGAGCAGTGTACCGCTGACTGTGGTGGTGGTGGAGGGAGAGCAGTGTACCGTTGACTGTGGTGGTGGTGGTGGTGGAGGGTGAGGAAGAGCAGTGTACCGCTGACTGTGGTGGTGGTGGTGGAGGGAGAGGGAGAGGGAGAGCAGTGTACCGCTGAGTGTGGTGGTGGTGGTGGAGGGTGAGGAAGAGCAGTGTACCGCTGACTGTGGTGGTGGTGGTGGAGGGAGAGGGCGAGGGAGAGCAGTGTACCGCTGATGTGGTGGTGGTGGTGGAGGGAGAGGGAGAGGGAGAGCAGTGTACCGCTGACTGTGGTGGCGCGCGCTGGGGACCGCTCCCGCTGCTCTTGGTGTACCTTTGTGTGTGCTCGTGCGTGTGCTGGTGTGTGTGTGTGAGTGTGGCAGTGTTGTGGTGGCCCGCGTGTCCTGGCACCATGCCTGGCCCTCTCCTCCTGCTGGTGCTGCTCTCCCTCGCCTCTCCCGCCGCCCTCACTCTCCCTCACCCCGCCACACCATCAGGTGAGTACTTAATTATGCCCAGCTTCCCTCCCCAGCGGCACATCACACCAGACCCGCACCAACAACCCGCTGACATCAAGCTCCTGACGTCAACAAGCCCCTGACGTCAACAAGCCCCTGACGTCAACAAGCCCCAGACGTCAACAAGCCGCTGGCGTCAAGAAGCAATAGGGAGAGAGGGTGTAAAGCATTGATGGCGGGCGTTGATGGTCAGGTAACTGTGGCCGCCCGCTGCTGCTCTCCTTTATCCTGGGCGGCTGGCCTGCCCGGGGAGGCCTACACGGCCCACCTACACCCTAGGCCTACTGAGGCTGCCTGCTGAGGAAGCCTACATGGACGGCCTACACGGCCCACCTCCACCCTAGGCCTACTGAGGCTGCCTGCTGAGGAAGCCTACATGGACGGCCTACACGGCCCACCTCCACCCTAGGCCTACTGAGGCTGCCTGCTGAGGTAACCTACATGGACGGCCTACACGGCCCACCTCCACCCTAGGCCTACTGAGGCTGCCTGCTGAGGAAACCTACATGGACGGCCTACACGGGGGACAGTGCCGCCGCCTGCAGCACAGGCCCATAGAGCTGCCCTGCACGAGAGGCCCATAGAGCTGCCCTGCAGGAGAGGCCCATAGAGCTGCCCTGCACGAGAGGCCCATAGAGCTGCCCTGCACGAGAGGCCCATAGAGCTGCCCTGCAGGAGAGGCCCATAGAGCTGCCCTGCACGAGAGGCCCATAGAGCTGCCCTGCACGAGAGGCCCATAGAGCCGCCCTGCACGAGAGGCCCATAGAGCCGCCCTGCAAGAGAGGCCCATAGAGCTGCCCTGCACGAGAGGCCCATAGAGCTGCCCTGCACGAGAGGCCCATAGAGCCGCCCTGCAGGAGAGGCCCATAGAGCTGCCCTGCACGAGAGGCCCATAGAGCTGCCCTGCACGAGAGGCCCATAGAGCCGCCCTGCACGAGAGGCCCATAGAGCCGCCCTGCAAGAGAGGCCCATAGAGCTGCCCTGCACGAGAGGCCCATAGAGCTGCCCTGCACGAGAGGCCCATAGAGCTGCCCTGCACGAGAGGCCCATAGAGCTGCCCTGCACGAGAGGCCCATAGAGCTGCCCTGCACGAGAGGCCCATAGAGCTGCCCTGCACGAGAGGCCCATAGAGCTGCCCTGCACGAGAGGCCCATAGAGCTGCCCTGCACGAGAGGCCCATAGAGCCGCCCTGCACGAGAGACCCATAGAGCCGCCCTGCAGGAGAGACCCATAGAGCCGCCCTGCAGGAGAGAACCATAGAGCCGCCCTGCAGGAGAGGCCCATAGAGCTGCCCTGCAGGAGAGACACATAGAGCCGCCCTGCACGAGAGGCCCATAGAGCTGCTCTACAGCATCACAAACACCTAACTATTGTCCTTCTACATGGAAGGGGACGCCTGGGGGAGTTACACGTAGTATACCATGTATACATAGTATATATTGTATGCATAGCATACCTTGGTTCCTGTAGGACGGATTCAGCCTGTTTGTAGTATCGCTATGTATGTATTCTTACCTGAAAACTCGCTATTATACGCAGGGCCACAATTATGTACTAGGCCACATAATTATACTTGTGGCCACAATTGTGCACTAGGCCACACAATTATACTCAGGCCACAATTATGTACTGGGCCACACAATTATACTCAGGCCACAATTATGTACTGGGCCACATAATTATACTCGTGGCCACAATTATGCACTGGGCCACATAATTATACACATGACCACAATTATGTACTGGGCCACACAATTATGTACTGGGCCACACAATTATACTCATGGCCACAATTATACTCGTGGCCACAATTATGTAGTGGGCCACACAATTATACCCGGGGCCACAATTATGAACTGGGCCACACAATTATACTCAGGTCACAATTATGTACTGGGCCACACAATTATACTCAGGTCACAATTATGTACTGGGCCACACAATTATACTCGGGGCCACAATTATGAACTGGGCCACATAATTATACTCGTGGCCACAATTATGTACTGGGCCACACAGTTATACTCAGGTCACAATTATGTACTGGGCCACACAATTATACTCGGGGCCACAATTATGAACTGGGCCACATAATTATACTCGTGGCCACAATTATGTACTGGGCCACAATTATTCTCGTGGCCACAATTATGTACTGGGCCACACAATTATTCTCGTGGCCACAATTATGTACTGGGCCACACAATTATTCTCGTGGCCACAATTATGTACTGACCCACAAAATTATACTCGGGGCCACAATTATGTACTGGGCCACGATTATATACTGGGCCACACAATTATAATCGTGGCCACAATTATGTACTGGGCCACAATTATACTAAGGTCACAATTATGTACTGGGCCACATAATTATACTCAGGCCACAATTATGTACTGGGCCACAGGCCACAATTATGTACTGGGCCACACAATTATACTCGTGGCCACAATTATGTACTGGGCCACACAATTATACTCGTGACCACAATAATGTACTGGGCCACACAATTATACTTGTGGCCACAATTATGTACTGGGCCACATAATTATACTCGGGCCACAATTATGTACTGGGCCACATAATTATACTCGGGCCACAATTATGTTTCTGGGCTACACAATTATACTCGTGGCCACAATTATGTACTGGGCCACATAATTATACACATGGCCACAATTATGTACTGGGCTACACAATTATACTCGTGGCCACAATTATGTATTGGGCCACATAATTATACTCGGGCCACAATTATGTACTGGGCTACACAATTATACTCGTGGCCACAATTATGTATTGGGCCACATAATTATACTCGGGCCACAATTATGTACTGGGCTACACAATTATACTCGTGGCCACAATTATGTACTGGGCCACATAATTATACACATGACCACAATTATGTATTGGGCCACATAATTATACTCGGGCCACAATTATGTACTGGGCCACACAATTATACTCGGGCCACAATTATGTACTGGGCCACACAATTATAATCGTGGCCACAATTATGTACTGGGCCACACAATTATACTAGGGCCACAATTATGTACTGGGCCACACAATTATACTCGGGCCACAATTATGTAATGGTCCACAAAATTATACTCGGGGCCACAATTATGTACTGGGCCACGATTATGTACTGGACCACACAATTATACTCATGGCCATAATTATGTACTGGGCCACACAATTATACTCGTGGCCACAATTATGTACTGGGCCACACAATTATAATCGTGGCCACAATTATATACTAGGCCACATTTATACTCGAGGCCACAATTATGTACTGGGCCACATAATTATACACTGGGCCACAATTATGTACTGGGCCACATAATTATACTCGTGGCCACAATTATGTACTGGGCCACATAATTATACTCGTGGCCACAATTATGTACTAGGCCACATTTATACTCGAGGCCACAATTATGTACTGGGCCACATAATTATACACTGGGCCAGAATTATGTACTGGGCCACACAATTATACACTGGGCCACAATTATGTACTGGGCCACACAATTATACACTGGGCCACAATTATGTACTTGGCCACATAATTATACACATGGCAACAATTATGTACTGTGCCACATAATTATACATATGGCCACAATTATGTACTGGGCCACATAATTATACATATGGCCACAATTATGTACTGGGCCACACAATTATACACTGGGCCACAATTATGTACTTGGCCACATAATTATACATATGGCCACAATTATGTACTGGGCCACATAATTATACACATGGCCACAATTATGTACTTGGCCACATAATTATACACATGGCCACAATTATGTACTTGGCCACATAATTATACACATGGCCACAATTATGTACTGTGCCACAATTATACACATGGCAACAATTATGTACTGGGCCACATAATTATACTCGTGGCCACAATTGTGTACTGGGCCACATAATTATACTCGTGGCCACAATTATGTACTGGGCCACATAATTACACTCGTGGCCACAATTATATACTGGGCCACAATTATGTACTGGGCCACATAATTATACACATGGCAACAGTTATATATTGGGCCACATAATTATACGCAAGGCAACAATTATATACTGGGCCACAAAATTATATGCAGGGTAACAATTATATACTGGGCCACATAATTATACACAGGGCAACAAATATTTACTGGGCCACATAATTATATACTGGGCCACATGATTTTACACAGGGCCACAATTTTATCCTGGGCCTTTATTAGGAATTATACACAACGTCATATAATTATACATTGGTGTGTTAATTATATACACCAGGTCACATAAGTTAAGCAAAGGGTCTCATGGCTATTCACAGGGTCATGCAATTATACATAAGGCCAGTCATACACAGGATCACACAGTTATACATGTCGCCAAATTATTCCCATGGTCAAATAATTATACACTGGAGGCACACATCTAACTTATGTACCATGTGGCATAAGAAATGTGTACAATGGGACATGTAACAGGTGTATAATGCCATATACACATGACAAGTGTGCAACGGATCTTGTGCACCTAAATTATTGGGATCGTCTCAAAGCTCTCCAAATGTACTCACTAGAAAGGAGACGAGAGAGATACCAAATAATATACACATGGAAAATACTGGAGGGACAGGTCCCAAATCTACACAGTAAAATAACAACGTACTGGAGTGAACGATATGGAAGAAAATGCAGAATAGAAGCAGTGAAGAGCAGAGGTGCCATAGGCACAATCAGAGAACACTGTATAAACATCAGAGGTCCGCGGTTGTTCAACATCCTCCCAGCGACTATAAGAAATATTGCCGGAACAACCGTGGACATCTTCAAGAGGAAACTAGATAGTTTCCTCCAAGGAGTGCCGGACCAACCGGGCTGTGGTGGGTATGTGGGCCTGCGGGCCGCTCCAAGCAACAGCCTGGTGGACCAAACTCTCACAAGTC